AAGAGAAACCTGCAACTGCCTATTCCAATAAACACTTTGTTTGTCTCATCACCAATGAGTAAAGTGTAAACTTATGAGCTTTGTAAGAATGTATAAAAAGCATGCATGCTGTAATAAAAACAGCTTTGAAACCTTCTGAAAATTGAGAGTTTTAATTTGTATTGCCTCCATCTCAACTATGACAGAGAGGAGCCTCATTCCAACTCAGTGCCCAGAAAACCTGTTCTTTGTGCAGAAATCCCAGAAATTCTGTTCAGCCACTGAGGGTTTCATTACACAGAAGTTGTGCTGGCAGAAGCTGCGTGGATTCAGTCACATCAATATGACTGCACTTGATTTCATCCAAGTTGTGGACACATCTTCCTCCTGTGGGCTCAGGAGCTGCAGGGAGTGGCACAAAAAATCCCCCACAGGCACTGGGTTTTTTTTTTCCATGACTTTATCCAGTGTTTTTTGTGGAATTTCCAGGCAACTACAGCCAAACCAAACAGATAAAACTGCAGATAAATGCTTGGTCCTTTAAATATTGTAAAAGGATATTTCCAGGATGGGGGAAAAGATAGAATTTGGGGGTTTAGGTGGGCTAAAAACTTGTTAGGGGGGAGATGTGAGGTGAGAACAGTGACCTTCCCAAATCCCACGTTGTGCAGGGAAGTCTTTTCCAGGGATTGTTGGGATACAACCCAAGGGAGACAGGAAAAAAGAGCACAGGAAGGGCTGAACGTGCTCTCTTCTTTCTCCCACCTTCAGCACTCACCTGTTTGCTTCCAGGATGGGTAAGGCTGAGAAAAAAATGCTCTGGGTCACTGCCAGGACAGGGCAGAGATCCCATAACAGCCTGGGATTCACTGTCCTAATGGAGAGAGATCCCATAACAGCCTGGGATTCACTGTCCTCCTGAACAAACATCCCAAAACAGCCTGGGATTCACTGTCCTAATGGAGAGAGATCCCATAACAGCCTGGGATTCACTGTCCTGATGCACAAATATCCCATAACAGCCTGGGATTCACTGTCCTGATGGAGAGAGATCCCAAAACAGCCTGGGATTCACTGTCCTGATGGACAAATACCCATAACAGCCTGGGATTCACTGTCCTCATGGACAAACATCCCATAACAGCCTGGGATTCATTGTTCTCCTGGACAAACATCCCAAAACAGCCTGGGATTGATTCTCCTGATGGATAAACATCCATACCAGCCTGGAATTGGACAGAGGCGTGGGCAAAGCAGGGCAGGGAAATTCCAGCCTGGCCTTGGCACAGCCACACTCACAGATTTCCCCTCTCAAGCCCAGCCAAAAGCACTGAGGAATGTTGTTGTCTGAGCAGCAGCAAGGTTAGGAGCTTGAGCTGCAGAAAACACAGCCCTGGGGCTGTGCCCAAGGAGCATGGCAGGAAAAGCTGCAGTTTGCACCAGTCCCACTGGAATTTCCTTGGAAATTGAGATTAAACAGAGATTTAATTCCTAACTTCACCCCTTGAGTGACTCCCTGCCTGAAAAACCAGGACCCATTCATGTGCACCGCAAATTGAAATGGTTGTGAATGAAATGATCTTGAAATTTCATTTTATCACTGATATATCAAAGGGAAAATCCGTGCTCACAGATGGGATGATCCTCACAACCTGCATGGGATGGTGCTGCTGATCCTGTGGGACAGGGGACATGGAGAGGCACCAGTTCAGCCTCCCAATATTCTGCACTCAACAGGAAAACACAGCACAGAGACAATAATCATTAGGGTTATTCTAAGGGTTGGAACACAGATTAATTAGGGTTGGAAAACACCTCCAAGGATGGGAGGAAGATGACACAGAAATCTCCCAGGTAGGAAAATGCTGTTTGGTCCCTGTTTGGAATTGAACAAGCAAGAAAACTTTTTCTTTAAGCAAAAATCCCAAGGGTAATTCCTCTGGGAATTTTTTTTTTTTTTTCCACACAGGAAACAATTTAAAGGAATAGTTTCATTCTAGGTTTCATTTCCAGCACCCAAACCCCAATATTTTTTCATGGATAAACACGATATTTCAAAGGATCCCTTTGAACTTGCTACCTTTACAAGGAATTTGCTTTCATCAGAACACAATTTTTCTGTCAAAACCTCCCTTTAGTGCAATCGAGTCAATCCATGAGATCCTTTGGGCGGGATTGGGTTTGAGCTGAATTCCAGTTTGCTTTGAGGAACGTGCCCTCCTGTGGGTAGCAGAGACAGCTGCAGCAAGCTGGGAGAAAAGAAAAGGAAGAGAAAAATCAAACTTCTCTCTCTTGACAACTTTTTGAAATTAATCCCTTTCCCCCAGCCCCTGGTATTGTGTGGGAGGAGCGAGATCTGGCTCATAAACAGACTGGAAAAAACAAAGAAAAATTCATCCCAGTGATCAGCTTGGCACAAGAGGTGGCAGACAATTAAAAATAAATGTAAAATAATTAAAAATAAAAGTGCTGTGGTGATTCTGCCTGACCCCGATGGGGTGCAGGCCTTCCCAAAGGTGTTGTGCTGAACGTTATCAAAAATTTCAAGTATTATCAAGTGTTCAGAAATGGCTGTGGCACCTGGGGACAGAGTTGGTGGTTGGGTTTGAAGATCTCAGAGGGCTTTTCCAGCCTCAATGGCTCTGTGATTCTGTGATTTTCAGGATGTTGTTGGCACCTGTGCTTTGGGTTTCACTCAGTAATCAGCACTTTGGGAAGAACAGGAGCACACCCAAATGTGTTTTACATTTCTTTTTGCTGTTCAGCAGGTAATTGTGCCCTAAAAAATCAAGGTAACAGAGCTGCAATAACATATTTGAGCTGATATTAAAGGGGAGAGAGCTGAGGAATTTCATTCAGCTCCTGGTGATAATTCAAAATCATCATGGTGCAATTCAGTGTGGCCAAACCCAATATATTTATTCCTGCTCAAGCAGGAATAAGTGACCACAGGATTAAAAAATAGCTGTTTATTGAGTGTTTTTTAGGAAAGGTCTGGGCTTTTCTAGCAGGAAAAACAGAGGTTTGCTTCATTTGTAAAACATGAGACTGAGGGAAGGAATGAGAACAACCTTCAAACACAACGGGAGTGTTTAAGGCAAATTTATTAATCTGGTTTCAGTTTCCAGGAGTAAAGGTGGATGTTTATATGTACTAGGTGTTTTTAAAAAAACTATTCCACCTCTATTTTCTCTTTTACTGCACGTGTCACTCACCTAAAAGTTGTTCTTTTAAAATATCTCTGGCTTAAGCATCTACAACCCATTAAGAATAAGAATTATTTTTCTCAGGAGCTTCTCAAAAACTCACTCAGTGGTGGTCAGACACACAACTCCATTAATTTTTCCAATGTAATTCTCATGGTAATCTCCCAAAAGCAGGAGCAACAACCCCAAATCTGCACTCTAACCAGTGTCTCAATTTAAATTGCCTTGCTCAGTCACTTCCTTTTCCAGTAACTCCTTTCCCGAAGCGTTAGGTAAGAAAAGTAATAATCCTGTGGTGTTTGGAGCAGGCTGTGTTATTGGAGTCTCCATGGGTACAAATTCCACACACTTCCTTGGCTGAGGCTGGGACATACTTTTCAGAAAACGTTGCAGAAAAAATACATCATAAAAGCTTTTTTTTTTTTTTTTATACATGTCAGGAAAGTGATCCTGGAAATGGTGAAATACCTGACGGGGATTTTTCAGAGCAAGTGGATTCTGCTGAGTTTAACTGCGGGGGAAAAACCCATAAAAACCCCACGAACAGAGATATTCCATAAAGCTGTATAAAAAACGCTGCTTTCCTTGGCAGCACCTGCATTCAAAAACATACAAGAGCGACCCAGAGCCTGGGCTGGGTTTCATTGACAAAATAAAACAGGAGGGGATGTGAGGAGTGAAGAAGCATCCAGCCTGGCCTTGGGCACTGCCAGGGATCCAGGGCAGCCCAGCTGTGCCAGGGAACAATTCCTTCCCAATATCCCATCGAAATGGGATCACTATCCCAGTGGGAGCCATTCCCTGTGTCCTGTCCCTCCATCCCTTGTCCCCAGTCCCTCTCCAGCTCTCCTGGAGCCCCTTCAGGCCCTGCCAGGGGCTCTGAGCTCTCCCTGGAGCTTCTCCTCTCCAGGTGAGCACCCCCAGCTCTCCCAGCCTGGCTCCAGCAGCAAAGCAGATTATTTCATCCTCAATTCCTGCTTCCAGCCCTGGTTCCCCAAAAACTGAACACGTTTCTGTTCTCACTGAAATCAAGGGCACTGCTCAAACACTTTGGCTTTAAACCTCAGGGCTTGGCACTGCCAGGGGCTCTGAGCTCTCCCTGGAGCTTCTCCTCTCCAGCAGCCCCGGAGCCTCCCCGTGCCTTTCTCCGGGCGCTCTGGGGCAGTTCCCGGCGCTCCTGCCGCCATCCCAGCGCCGGGCTCGGTCCCGCTGCCCGTGGGTGACGATTTTCCGTCCCAGGGCGCTGCTGCCGCTTCTCCCCCCGCATCCCCCCGGACTCCGGGCGCTGCAATTCGCCGATATTGCCTCAATTCGCCCCAAACCCGCTCCCATCCCGCGCCTTGTTGTCGGTGACGTCACGCCCCGTCGCCATGACCACGGCTTGATGTCACGCGGAAAAGCGGCTGCGAAATAAAACCGCAACCACCCCCCCGGCGGCAGCCCGCCCTTCTGTAATGTTTGACAGCGGGAAAATAAACTTTTTGTAAAAATTTTTTTATTTTTGGGGGTGATTTATTGAGGTGAAATCACCGAGCCGGCCCCGCCTCCTCGCCCCCCCCACTTCCCTCACCGCCGTCCCTCACCTCCCGCGCGCGCGCGCGTCACGCGCCCGGCCCCGCCCCGCGCCGAGGCGCCAAACCGCGCGCCAAGCGTAGGCCACGCCCCCTGCGCCACGCCATTGGTCCTCCCGCCACGCGCCCCGCCCCTTCGCGTGACGGACAGGCGCTGCGCCAATGGGCGGCGGCGAAACCCTGGACACGCCTCCTCGGGGCGGGGCCGGGCGGTGACGCGCGGGGCCGGGGTAGCAACAGTTGCCTCGAGACCCGGCGCCCGGCGCCATAGTGACCGTAGCCCTGGAGACTGTTACTTGCCAACGGCGGCAACGCGCGGCCCCGGCGGCCGGAGCCCAGCGCAGCCCGCGGCACCCGGCGGGGACGGCAGGTGAGCGGGGCCGCCCCGCGACGGGCTGGATGCGGGACCGCGGCCGGGGGGGGTGCAGGGATGTGCGCGGTCTCCGCGTCCTCCGAGGGCCGGCGGCGCCGACCCCGCTCGTCCCGGCGCGGGATGCGCGGTCCCGCTGCGCGCCGGGGCGGGGGGCGCCGGTCGCGCCGCCCCCGGAAAGTTGGGAGCGGGGGAGCGGCGGAGGCGGCGCCGCCGAACCGCCCCGGGCTCCCCCTCTCCCCGGCCGGTGCCGCTGCCCCGGAGCACCGCCCGCAGCGCGGCCCCGCCCGGGCACGGGAACCGACACCGCCCGGCCGGTGGGGGGGCCGCGGCCCCCGCGCACCGCCGCTCCGGCTCCGCGGGGCCGCCCGGAGCTCCGCGGGGCCGCCCGGAGCTCCGCGGGGCCGCCCGGAGCTCCGCGCTCCCGGCTCCGCGGGCGGCGGGGACGCGGCGCTGCCGGGGGGGGTCCCACCCGGTCCGCGGGGTGCGAGCCCCAAAGTGTCCGCTCAGGGTCGGGAGGGGGTCGCAGTGCTGGGGTCGGCACCGCTGCGTACTGTACCCGTGCCCTTCTCCGTGCTTTCCCTTTTTCCGTGCTCTCCCTGCTGTCCCCGTCCCTCTCTCCCTGCTGTCCCCGTCCCTCTCTCCCTGCTGTCCCCGTCCCTCTCTCCCTGCTGTCCCCGTCCCTCTCTCCTTGCTGTCCCCGTCCCTCTCTCCATGCTGTCCCCGTCCCTCTCTCCATGCTCTCCCCCTCCCCGCGCTGTCCCCGACCCCCCCAGCGCTCCTCCTCCTCCTCTTTGGGGGTGGAGGGAGGTGGTTTCGACTCCAGCTCGTCCCTGGAGTTTGCCAGAGCTGGGAGATCCCGGCGCTCGCTTTCGAGTCGGTCTTAGAAATGGGGGGAAATCGCAGCGAGACCTATTTGCAAGCATCTGCCGTCTGTTCTTGATGTGGTTTCTGCTGTTGGTTTTGAATAAAGTGTGTTGTGAAAAAAGATTCATCTCCTGTTAGAGTGGGATTTTGTGGACGTGCCTGTTTCAAGCGTGAGTTCCTGCTGCCTGATTAAATGTTTCCATTCTTTTTACTTAGATAGCAGTCCGAAGCCTTTATTTTGGCTTTGCTGTTGAAAGAGGTGAGACTTACTAATTAAAAAGCAGAATTAATAATAATTTTATTAAAGATTGTTAAATCTACTTTAGCTTTTGCATTTGGAATGTCCTTAAACTGTGGCTTTAATTGGTAGGTTAAACTGAGAGCTCAGCTCCAGAATCATTTAGTTGAGGCTTTTTTCATCTGCTTCTGCCCAAACTTTTCAACCCTCTCTTGGTTACAAATGATTTGAGAATAGAAAGTAATGTCTGGCCTAGAGAAAAGAAAAAAAATTAGTCTCTAAATACCAACCTTAAGCTCCTGGGCTTCCCTCTCCGCCTCTGCTGTTTCACTTTTCGGTCTGAGTTTGCTTCAGTCAGTTCAGTATCAGGTTTTATTTGAAAGTGGCACATTTAGTAGAAGGGGAAGCATTTTGGGAGGCTCTTTCATGGTTACCTCGTTCAACACAGGTTGAATCAACCTCTGACTGTGTCTGCTGAGAGTTTGGGATGTACAGTTTGATTTCTGGGTGGCTAGTGAGGGAAAACCCCCAAAGCAGGACTTTGTAGGATACATGAAAATCTCAGCTCATGTTTTAAAAAAACCCAACACATCCAGCTGTGTCTTCACCTCTCCCCCAAGGGAGGGGAGATGTATCGGAATTCTGTGAGATGTGTTGCGTTTGCCTTGGGGTTACACAGCTGTGGGCAGGCTCCGGGGGTTTGTTGTCTGGAGCTGGTGTTGTCAGAGCTGTTCCCATAACCACGAGCTTTGGAACTGCTCATCTTTTTAATCGGAATCTGGGTTCTCAGGTAACAACAGGCTCTTGGCCTGAAGGCTGAAAGCACAGACAGAAGGGGTTGACAGCTGGAATTTCTTTGTCCCTGCTTGCTTCTTGCAAAACAGGAATGATCCCAGTGCGCCTGGGGATGGGGATAGGAGCATCCACCGCCACAGAGGAAAGGCAGAGCCAGGTCCCTCACAGCCACCCCTGCTTTGCATCTCCCTGCTGAGCCATTTGCATCTCATCAATTCCTCTCGCAGGAGCGTGTCCCTGTCCTGGGGCCCCGAGAGCCAGCTCTGCTCCTGGGGAGGGGTCTGAGCCACTGGGAAATCTCACCTGGAGAGGGGCTGAGACTGCAGGCAGCACTCTGGGGTCTTTGCCTTTAGCATCAGATCCGCCCTCTCAAGGAGTGTTTTGTAGCATTGCCTTTCAAATTTGTAGCATTGCCATATAAACTTGTAGATTTGGCCTATAAATGAAGGCATCTCCTTCATCAAGGGACTTGGCACCACACTGAGCCCTGCAGCCGGGCTGGGAGGGAGGGATGGGGTCACCCATCCATGGATTTAAGGCTGTGGTCTAGAGAGAGTTGCTGTTAAATGGTGTGTTAGAAATACACTTTCTGTGTCCTTTCGTGTGTGTAAACACGATCAGACCCATCCCTGGAAGTGTCCAAGGCCAGGTTGGACAGGGCTCGGTGGAAGGTGTCCCTGCCCGTGGGACAGGGTGGGATTTCAGCTCCCTTCCATCCTAACCTATTCTGGGATTCTGTAATCATCCAGCAGCCAGTGCCTCCGATGACATCATTTGTCCTGGCTTTTGGGGGAAATCCTCCAGCTGAGCGTATTCCCTGCCACTAAAAATCCACTTTCTGCCACGAAACAACTTCGGGGCTGCCACAATCGAGGCGGAATAGACGGCGCCAGTCATTGTCTTTAAATATCCCCCTGCTCGTAACACCTCGGAGCACCGACAGCTGCCACGTTTAATCACAACATGTTTTCCCTGCCCGTAAACAGAGCAGCTTTCGCCTCTTCCAGCCCATTTCCCCGCTCGCTTTTAGCCCTCGCCGAGCTAAAAGCGGAGTCCGGGCGTGCTGCTGATTCAACAGGCGGGTCCCGCCCGCTCGGCTCCTCCGCGGAGTTTCTGCTGGAGCCTCCCGAGTTATATTTAACCCCGGTTCTCCTTCTCCTTCTGCCTCCCTCGGAACAAATGCCAGCGCAGCGCAGGGCTGGATGCCCGCCCGGCCTCGGGCACCGGGATCCAGCGGGATCCATCGGGATCCATCGGCATCCATCGGCATCCATCGGGATCGCCGATATTTGACATGCAAGGGAGGTTTGTAGCTGTAATCTTGGCTTTCAGACGCCTTGTTTTGTCTTATTTGGACTGGCAAGTTTTATTTGGACTGGCAAGTCTTTATTCTTTTGTTCAAACATTCACAAATCCGGCTTATTGTCTGGGAACGTGCCGGCTTTCCCACGTCGGGATGTGTCCGTGTGAGCAGCTTAGGGAGTGATTCTCCCTGAAATGCATAAATAGGTGACAAATCTTCCTTCAGCACAAACTTTGGACCCCTAAACAGAGGAATCCAAGCTGCTTATTGAATAATTATCCATAAATTCATAAATAGCTGACAAAACCTTCAGCACAAACTGTGGACCTCTAAACAGAAGAATCCAAGCAGTTTATGGGTTAATTATCCATAAATATATAAATAGGTTACAAAATCTTCCTTCAGCACAAACTGTGGACCTCTAAACAGCAGAATCCAAGCAGTTTATGGGTTAATTATCCATAAATATATAAATAGGTGACAAAATCTTCCTTCAGCACAAACTGTGGACCTCTAAACAGCAGAATCCAAGCAGTTTATGGATTAATTAGCCATTAATTCATAAATACATGACAAAATCTTCCTTCAGTGCAAATCATGGACCCCTTTACCCACTGAGCAAAGAGGAATCCAAGCAGCTTTATCCATAAATTCATAAATAGATGACAAAACCTTCCTTCAGCACAAACTATGGACTTCTAAACAGAGGAATCCAAGCAGTTTATGGAATAATTATCCATAAATTTATAAATAGATAACAAAACCTTCCTTCACAAACCTTAAGTCTCTGAGCTAAGAGGAATCCATTTGTACAGGGCACTTCCTAGAGTCTCTTTTCTTAGCACACAAAGAACAGAGAGGAAATTATTTCAGGGTCATATTAATACACAAATTATTTTCATTCAGTGGGGGAAGCAGAAAAAACAAACCCTTTCTCAACTTTTAGTGATGTTTTATAAGAGATGGCAATGTTTGCGTTTCAGAAATGATTTCAGGACACTTTAATACACAAATTATTTCCAGGTAGGGGGGAAGGGAAAAAAAAACAAACTTGCTTTCAGCTTTGGGTGATGTTTTATGAAAGATGGCAATTACTAGAGAAGTTTAAATGTTGTTAATTCAGCTGAGTTGTTAAAACAATATGTAGTTATGTCTAGACATGTGATTTCATGTCAGTGAATGAGAAACTCTTCCCACAATATTCCTGTTCATTTATGTCACTGCAGGGGTTAGGCAGTGTCTGCCCAGCAGTAAAGTTAAAAGGTGTATTTTAAATTGCAACAGAAGCAAGAAGTTTCCCAAACAGAACTTTAAAACTTGGTTCCTTGATCTGGTCATAAAATCACAGAAGAACCTTTCCCTGATATCCATCCCAATGCCCTGACACAACTTATGTCATTCCCTTGGGTATTTCCTGATGTTCCACAGGAGTGAGGAGCTGTAGAAATCCCAAATGAAGGCATTTGAAAAGTCATTTAAAGGCATAAGTTGCTTTTTCCCTGAGTATTAGGAATTTGTTTTTCTGAGCTTAATAAATGCCAGAGAAGTCTCAGTATTGTACAAATGTGTCGTGGGTGGAAACTTTGCAAGAGGTTAATGATGGAACATTGCAGTCAAAGGAACAGGTCACAGAATGCTGCACCAATAATGACTTTCATATAAAGAATATGCAAACAAAAATCAGCTGCTTTGTTTTCTTGCCCCAAATCTGAAAGAAATCCTCAGCAAGAAGCTGACAGAAATATTAATTATATTGACTGTAGAGATATTCCTCCCTGATGCTGCATTTAGCTCACT